CTTGATTGCTTTCTCAAGTTCATTCTCTCGGGCTCGTCGAGGGCGAACTGCTCGTGGATGAGTGTGGCGGTGTAGGTGTAGACGCGAGCTGAGAACAGATAGAAAACGGAAGGGAAATATAAGCGGAGATGCTGATGATATAAAAATAAGAAAGAAGAAAGGCAAGAGAGGTCAGAAAAAACAGACGGATAAACATAGAACATGTGTATATATACATATATGCATACATACTCACACATGCTCACATTTACACACACTCATACTCACACACACCCACACTCACACTTACACTTACACACATTCACATTCACACACACGCACACACGCACACACACACACACACACACACACACACACACACACACACACACACACACACACACACACACACACACACACACACACACACACACACACACACACACACACACACACACACACACACACACACAGAACCCAGTAGCAAAGCAATACGTCATAATCGTACATCGGACGCACATTTGCAACCGCACAAAGTTCCACATCGTGCAAACAAATCACCAGCGCGATCCGGCGAAAATCGCCCCTTCGGTACTCAACCGAGTACATCATTGATCAGGCTCGAGGTGGGGTGAAATTAGATTTAACATCCAATATCCTAAATCTCTTATCAATACCAGAGATGTAAATAGGTCTGATGCACCTCGGTCAGGGCTACGTGTCGTCAAACTACTTCAGGTTTTTAACAAAAATACGATGGGTATAGATGAATTATTTGTGGATCAAATAAATATTAATCAATTGCAATGAATATAATGCAAGTGCTATCACCGCATAGTCCAAACTTCAGATTCGCACCAGACCAACAACCGCGCACCTAGGATAATATATACTGATCTATGTCGAGAAAATCCTATCAAAAATGATATACAGAACTGGTAATGATATATCAAGCAGAGATTGTTCGAACTTAATACCGAGTAAAATAAAAAAAACAAAGTGTCAAATACTATATCTTATCCATCTATCACATCTTCTATCTATGTATCTATCTCTATTGACACATATGTGTCACGATTCCGAACCTTAATACATGCTTTTATGACAAGTATATAAATAATACTGATGAAAGCTAGTATGTAATATAATAGGTTATATTAGTAAAAATATCATATTACATATATATATATATATATTTATATACGCTATATGGATAAATATATTAATCTACTAGTAATGTATAGTATATTCATGTATATGTAATGTACTGAATGTATTCTGTAAATTATAATATATTATATAGTATGGTATTCATAGATATATAATGTAAATGTGTATATCTAAATAACATTTAGATATACTGAAACTAATATAATATTATACCATATACACAATTCTACATACACACACACACATATACTCATATGTGTTATGTTTAATACATGATATTACATAATATTATATATATACTCATGGTATGTATGATAGTATGTAATAATAATAATATATATATAATATATATATATATATAATAATATATATATATAAATATATTATATCTATTATATATATGAGTTGACATATGTGTTGCAAGTGTGTGTATGAATATAGTTGTTTATCATATTTATAGCTTATGCATATAATGTGTACGTTATGTAAAGGAGAAATATGTTGAGCGGACCAATATTAAGTTAAGTATATAGATGATATATATAATATAGTATATATACGTATAATTATTATATACTGTATATATATAATAATTATATTGTATTATTATGTATATGGTAATTATACTTATACTTATATATAATATACATATATGTTTAGTATGATAAGTATAGTTATTATGTATATATATATATAGTAGTAGGTGACATATGACATATAATTATAACTCATATATTAATAAATAGTATATGAGGTTACTTATAGTGGTATAGTTCATATATACTATGACTTATGATGTATAAAAAACCCTCTATTATTATTCGTAATTATAGTATATTCTATAATTATAAAAATATATATATCAACTATTACTATTATACTATTTAATACTTTAAAAAGTCATGTAAATAATATATATACTGTAATAGTATACGTTATAATATATAATTATAATTATAAATATATCAATAAACTATCCTTCCTCTATATATAATTACGATATAGGTAATAAATAAATATAAAGTATATATATATATATATACATGATAATGATAGTGAACATATAGTATTTTCCAGTAAATTATTAGTTATATATATATAGCGATAAAGATAGATATCTATTATTAATATTATATATATGTATATATACACACATGTTTTTTATACAATATAGAACACATATTATATGAGTGAAATATGTATAGTTATAATAAAATATATAGTATAAGGTATATTTTATGTTTGTATCTATACTATACTATATTATCAACTATTAACAGTGAATCTCTCTATATATCATATATCAAAGGATGCATACATATGGATTAATATAATATAATACGCCTAATACTATACTATTGATAGGGTACTCGACGTAATATTAAGTAGGGAGAAATATATATAATGATCATATAAATAAAGTATATATAGATATATATAATATATATATTCATATATCATATGTGGTGTGGCAATGAATAGCTGTCATGCTATGATGATTATAGTATAACTACTTAATGTATGTGTAGTTTGTGTGAAACGGAGGAAAATTCATGAGGATGCTGGACCGAGAGTAGCGTTAGGGATGGTGCCCACACCAAGGTATCTGTACTGTCACTCTTGGACGACCGGTGCGCGAAGAGGGGGGTGGAGGGAGGAGCATCAGGGAGGGAAGGAGGTGATGATCGGATCAGGTCGAAGGAAGAATCGGGCGGTGATGTGGTGCGGTGGAGGAGCAGGCGGGGTCCCGGGAGGAGGAGGCAGGGAATGCATGGGCAGTATGAATAGAATATCGTGAGGAGGAAGAGGGGCTGAAGGGAGGTGGGGATGAGGAGAGGAGGGAGGCAGTAGGAGGGTAGGTACAAGTATGAACACGGCGAGGGCGAGAGAGACCGGGAAGCCGTGAGGGAGGGGGGAGATGAGAAACAGAGGGAGAAGGAGGAGTGGAGTGGAGGGCCATCCAATAAGAATTCTAGTAGTGACTATAGAAGGCGGCCGAAGGATGGACTGAAGAATCGATTGATAGGCAGGCGGACAAGCAGATAGTGTATAGATGGGGGACCAGGATGAGGAGGGAAGGGGAATGGGGCCGTGCTAGGAGCGTGATCTCGCGAGGGAGGAGCAGTGAGGAAGGAGGTGGAGTGTGGTTCGGGCTAACAGGGGAGGGGGAAGAGAGCGACTTTGGGTGGGGGCGTAGAAGGGCGCCTACGGGATAGAAGAGGAGGATGGAGGGGGGCGAAGGCGGCAGAACAGTAGGAGGTGGGATAAAGAGGGAGAGTTGGGGGTAGGGGCGAGGTAGCTACCCCCTCCGTCCTTGAGGTTAAAGCTCGGTCGTTCGCGGTGAAGTGAGATGCCGGCGTGCTCTTGCTAACCCCCCCTTGTTCCACGCTCTACAACATACCCCGACCCACCTTTCCTCCCCCCTCGTATCGTAGCCCCACGCCCCCCTCTCCAATTTTCTTCTATCTCAAAATCTGTCGCTCTTTATCGAAGATATCCTCTACGTTTCATATATGATTTTACTTTGCTATTCCACATTTTCCTATTCCTTCTTTTCTTTTTAAATCCTACAGCGTTATCCTTCTTAGTTATCTTCTCCCCACAGTTTCTGCTTCATCGCTCTCTCCTCCGGTGGCTTCCCCCCATTCCTTCTTATACGTTCCTTCTCCTCCTCTCTCCTTCCAGTATATCTTGCATCCCTGGTGTGTCTCTTCTACTCCTCTCTATTTTTTCCCTTCTCCGCCTTTTTATCGCTTTCGTAGACTGTTATTCCTATGGAGCTTTGACTATCTTTCTTATATCCTTTCTCTTCTTATATCCCTTTCACCTCTATTTCCTCTTTCTTTTTAATAGTTCGTTTTTTTCGCCAAGTGCTCTCCAATATTACGACACCAATAATGGTAATAACTATTTACATAAGGATCCCACACCCCCCCTCTCTCTTTAAGAGATGAGTTATTAGGGTGGGACAGCAGATAGATAAGAGCAGGCTGGCGGATTGATGGGTGAGCGGTACATTCTGTCGCCTCGCTGGTGTCGCGCGTTGGTGCGGCCGTCATTCTCTTTCTGTTATTTTTTATTTATTTTTTTTGGTTTTTATTATCTCGCCTAGATTTAAGGTTAGTATGTTAAAAAAAACCCAGGTGCCAAAACAGTTAACTCAATCTACATAATAATAAGTTAACTTCGTTACAGAAAAGAACGAAGATGTGTTTCATATATCCGACAAAAATGGAATAGTGGAGATGGGTGATTGTAGAGAATGTAGTAATATGACGAATGTGTGTGTGACTACGTGAACAATCCTGTCGTTAGGACGGAAATGCCTGATTGTCATGTGGATGGCTATGCTGGTGGTGTCGTGTATATGGTTATCTTTTGTGTGTGATGTGTTTTGTGTTGAAGTGTGTGTTGTTGTGTGTAGTTGTGTGTGATATGTGATGGTCCGTGCTGTGCCGGGGTGGTTGGTAGGCGCGAGTCTCCTGTGTATAAGCGTCGTGTGCGGTTTACAAGTGCTATTGCTATTATTTGTTACTTTTTGCTATCGGGTGTATTTCATCTATGTATTTTCGTAGTTTGGAAATGCCAAGAAGCGGGTTTATGTCAGCATATGAATAGATATCAGAATAATAATTGAATATCTGTATAATTACGAAGTATTTGCATAATCATTGCATATCTGTATAATTACTAAATACCTGTATGATTATTGACAGCTATCAATATGCAATAAGTCGCGCACAGACTTATTTGCAGGTGATAAATTTTCTTATTGTTTGGTTTATCTTATTTGTTTGTCTTTTGTTTACTGAATATTACGTGAAACTTATATTGGTTCTTTTCTTTTACAGGTAAGCGAAAAGAGTGGATGCGGAGAGAGGAAGAGAAAAAAAGGAAAGGAGGAGAGAACAGGTAAAGAACAAGGAGACAAGGAATGATTTAGGAATAGGGTAAGAAAAGGAGAGATGATGGTAAATAACGAAAAAAAGAAAAATTAGAGTAACGATAAAAGGGCGAAAATGGTATAGAGTATTGCAGAAAAAGGAAAATTAGAATATTTAGAAAAGGGGAAAATTGGAATATTGAAAAAAGGGGACCAAATGAAAATAAAAAGGAAACAGAGGAGAGGAAATACAGATTATAATCAATCAGATAAAAGCGAAAGGGAAAGGAGAAAGACAAAAAAAAAAACAAACAAAACCCACATTTAGAAAAGAGAAAGACGAAAGGAAAATCAGTTATTTTGTCTACCCTGTCGAAAAAAGAATATAGACACAAAAAAGGTAGCCCCATGGAGAAGGGGAAAAGTAAAATAAGAAATGCTACCAAAAAACGGTATGTGATCAAAGAAGAAAGAAGGACCTATGCAAAAGCCGAATAAAGTTTATCTTGATGTTTATCCTTTCAAATTTGCCTTCACACTACATCAAGAGGTAACTTTACTTAATTCTTATTCAGGGATTAATGATAACAGTCTAGCAGCATGATGGCATTGATGGAATATTAACTTAGAGCAGAAATTTTATTGCCCTCATTCAAATAGGTTCGGGCAATTTGTGAGTCTGATGAATCAGCTCTATAGAATCATAATAGATTGTAGAATATCTATACCAACAGGTTTACATTGAACAGAACGTTTATTAGTGTATATACCAGTGTCACACTATGGAGGGTTTTAACGACGTGAAGCACAATGAACTAAGTTTAGAGAATAGATTTTGTGTGAACTGATCATGTCGAACTTTAAGCTGTCATCCCAAAGGATATGGTCTATGCGCTATCTGATGTGATATCAGTCTTCATAAACCTCGAAACTTGCTCGGTCATAGTAGAGAACATATATAATAGAATGATCGTGATCTGTGTTCAAATGTTCTCGCTGGTCTAAATTAAGGGTACTCTGGTACAAATGGTGGTCGTGTTTCGCTCTCTGTATCTCTAGCATCTGTACTGCCTGTCTGTCTGTTTAGCCCTGTCTCTTTCGTCATTCACATTCATCTGCATCATAATATCTCCTTCGTACACTTCTACTCCGTACATCACACTCTTACTCTCTCTCTCATCTCTCTGCTCAAACATACAATATACAATACATACTCTCTCGTTCCCTCTCTTCGATTTCTTTCGTTCAAAAATCTGAACATAGAAATAATCAAGTGAAGTCTTATAGCTTAAAGACCTAGTAACTTTCGTTCAGCTCCCAACATATTTCTCCCACCCCGTTTCTTCTTCTCTGTCCTGCGAGGGTCTCATAGTGTTGAATCATCCCTTTTTCACCACAATGACGAAGGTGCTTGAACCGAAATTAACCGCAGGAAAGATGTATTTATGGATTTACGAACATTTTTCTCGAAGGAAAAAATGTTTTCACTTCATTTGAAGGAGACATCATCATAAAAAGATGACGACTTATATGACTTCCAAGTTACCTAATATAATGTAATATATATATAGTATATATATATATATATCATTATATGTGATAATAAATATGTTGTGTCTCTAGTATATATATTACCCAATTTGAGATACATAGAGTAAGCATTATATACATACACACACACACACCACACACAACCACACACAACACACCACCACACACATACACAACACCCCACACACACCACAAAACACACACACGATCGATATATAATAATATATATATATATATAATATAATATTATATAAACCCTATATTAGTTAGATAGTTACTATATTCATGATAAAGATGGATAATATAGTAATATATAATTATATATATAAATATATTTCGTGTGTGTTGTGTCGTGTAAATATAAATGTAATAATGGTTACCTCATATACATCCACACCAGCAAGATCGCAACGAGCCTGTATTAAACGATAACATCTTTAGTATGACTATAATGATATATAGTCTGCTATAATTTAGTATATCTGTAACAGTTACTATTATATATGTCTTATATATAGATGTCTTTATATACTAATATACCTATATATTATAATATATTATGTAATATAAGCCTGTAAGTATTTATATATTATATTATTACTATTACACCGGTCACACACACCACACCCAACACACACACACACACACACACACACACAACACACACACATATCGACCATATACACACACCACACACACACACAGACAACAACACACACATATATACTATATTATATATATATATATATGTATATTATTAAATATAAAATATATATATATATGAGGTAGATATAATCATGCATACATATATATATATTATAATATATACTACTATACTATATTATATATGACACATATATACACACGTATACATGCATTATATATATATATATATATATATATATATATATATATATTATATACATATACATATATATATATATATATATATATATATATATATATATATATATATTATATATATAATATATATACATGCATACACACATACACACACACACACACACACACATATATATATATATATATATTATATATATATATATATATATTATATATATATATAATATATATATATATATATATATATATATATATACATATTGACACACACACATATATATATTATCTGATATATGAATATATCATATCATGTAGACCGAGACAGACAGACGAACGGATACAAACATCTAGGCAAATATAATAGATGATTAAATGGACAAATAGATGGACAGGCATATATATATACACGTAGATAGATAAATAGATACGTTTTCCTCCCGCATGCTGCGTGAATGCGCACATACATTTAATTTATCAGGTCGCCTCCTCGCCTCAAGGCACTCGTAGACACTCACGCACATGTCGCTCCTGCGTGGCCATTCAACTTGCTTAAATAAAGTTGTTATTTATTGCCGCGCCGATAGAAATGGCAACGTTGTAGAAGGATGGCGGCGGCGCTGTGTTCGGTTTCTAACTCCTGTGTTGCTTGAAGGTTTGGTTTATTATTTTTTTCTTTTTTTCTTCAATGCTTTAGAAAACGTTCTCGTGGTTTTCTGTTGCTCTGGAATTTTAATTGACGTCCGGATGAATCTTGACTTTCCTTTGCATTACGCGATTGTCTGGAAGAAATGGAGGGAAAAGAAGGGTTTAGGACGAAAATAAGAGTGCGGTGTTGATGGTGAAATAGAGATATGTTTGTTTTTCCTTTGCGAAGGTTGTGTCAATTCTTTTTTTTTTAAGAAAGAAGGGAGAAAACTAAATTTCTTCGATACTTGCAAAAGAAGAAAACAGAAAGACAAACAGATAAACAAACATATACTCAAATAATCAAACACCCATTCACAAACAAACACACACCCTTGCACACAAACAGACAAACAGAATATACGCAAGCAAGCAAATGTAAACGAACAAAAGCATACACATTCAAGTAAAAACAAATGAAACAAACAAAACAAAACAAGAGCACCGGCACCGACAACCACAAACTAAGTTAAGAAAATGGAGAAATTTCCTTTTGAAATCCAGGGTCTGTTCGGAGCTCCGTCGCGGCGACTGGCACGGCGTCAGAAATACAATAGAACCAATAAAGAATATCTGCACATGTGTGCACCGATGGGTAATGTGTCGGTGTGTGTGTGTGTGTGTGTGTGTGTGTGTGTGTGTGTGTGTGTGTGTGTGTGTGGTGTGTGAGTGTGTGTGTGTGTGTGTGTGTTGATGTGTGTCTGTATTATGTCTTTTCGTTTGTGCGTTTTGTATGTGTGTTTACGTGTTTGTGCTTATATGGGTGTCTGTATGTCCATGTACGTATTTTTCAACGAAGTGCGCACATCGCCTCTCAAGCACGCCGTGTACCTGCGAGTGAGTGAGCGTTTTGCAACAGCGAGTGCATGCGTGTTTGCGTCATTTCCCATGAGTTGTGCGGGCCGACAAACTATCCTAAGGCGGAGGGGGGGGGGGAGGGGATGTGCGAAGGGGGGAGGAGGGAGAGATCGGGGGCAGGGGAGGGGAGGGAGGTGGACGGCAGGGGTGGGGAGGGGTGGGAGAAGGGTGGTAGAGGAGGAGAAGAGGAGGGAGGGA